TGAAGAAAGAATGGATTAAATATGCGGGAGAGCGATGAAGAGGTTTTAAGACACAACTCACAGATAGATATATTCATCATCCCATATAAAATGATCCTCCTCCATATGTCAAGTATAACTTTATTACGGAAGACGCATGGAAAGAGTTTCTCAAGATTCGAGATACCCCTGAATTTAAGGTTAGTAGGAGTTATATGTTTTTGTGTGCATAACATTTTTATTATATTTAGTGATTAAGTACTTGTTTGAGTTTATAATAGGAAAAAAGTCAAAAGGGTAAGGATAATGTGGCTAAGAATGTATACCCACGCGTATTGTCTCGTGGAGGGTATCACTTGCTTGAGGAGAAAATTATGAAAGAAAAGTCATCATCGAGAGATAATTCCACATTAGATGATAATGGTAGTCCATCTCCACTGTCACGCCATGAGTTATGGAAGAGAGCACGACAAAAGAAAGGAGGAGAATACACATCAAAATCTACACAAGAGGTTGCTGAAAAGATTGTAAGTAAACAACGAAAAATTATTCAAGTATCATTATATTTGTGATTAATTAATTATTGTTTTTACATTTTGTAGGATTCTCTAGTTCAAGAAGCTGAAAAAGGTGCAATTGTTCCGGATGGACGTAACGATATCTTATCATTAGCCATTGGAACATCTGAGCATGGAGGTCGTGTTCGTGGTGTTGGAAAACACCATAAACAAAGCACTTACTTTGGAAGGTCACGTCAACATATTGACGTAAATGAACAACTTGCAATATTGGAAACAAAACTTAGAGTTGAACTTAAAAAAAAGTTGGTTGAAGAGCGTAAGATGTTTCAACAATCATTAATGGAGACACTTAAGTCTATGGGTTTATCACAAAGCACAGGTGATATTAAATGCATTGAAAAAATGGAAATTATCGATGGAAGCGGAAAAGGAAGTTGTTCAGCTGCAAAAGGAAGCACAAAAGAGAGCACAAAAGACGTGGAAGTTGATGATGTTCAGAGATTGTTACTCATGGTTTTGAAAATGGATGATAACCATTTAGCAATACAATTAAGTTATTGTGCGAGTGTCTCTAATTTTTATGTTTCAGCTAAGTGTATCAGAGAGTTATTGGTGAGTTTAGGTCATTGGCTTGACGTGTCTATTCTGCAAATTTGGTGCACGTAAGTATATTTTATTGTTTTATTAAAGTCAATCTCTATTAATATGTTATATCTCTCATCACTTTGATTATAATGCTTATTTTAAAATTATTCAGGTATATTCATCGTGTATCTCTTGATAATTTCATTTTAGAATTATATGGATTTATGGACCCTGTTAGGTGTATTTATAATGATAATGTAGCGAAATCTCAAGAGGATGTTAAAAATTACGTACTAGAAAAGTTACGTGATGAAAACAGAGTGTGCCACTTACTATCATTAATTCATGGGTAAGAATTTTAATGAAATTGTGTTTTATATTATTTAATTTTGATAACATATATATTTTATGTGACTTTTCTGTTTCCACACACACGTACAGGCGACATTGGCAATTAATAGTCATGTGTCCAAGAGACAATTTAGTTGTCGTATTTTGTTCACTTCATCGGGAAGTTGACCAGAACACAAAGAAAATTATTACAAAGTAAGTTTATCTTTCATGTGACTTTCATTGACAACTAATAGTTATGTGATTTTTCATTGGCGAGTAAATTTAGTTATGTGATGTTTATCTTTCTGTATTAGTTCTTTTGGGATTCATCAAATGGTAAATGGAAATAGAAAAAAGGCTACATGGCTTCATCCCAATGTAAGTGTGATGTAAATTGTAATTCTATAGTTAAATTTATGATAAATATTCACTAATTATGTCATTCAATTGTAGACAAGGCAACAATATAACTCTAATGATTGTGGATACTATGTGATGAAAAATATGTTAGATATTGTCTCTGCTAATATAACCGAGAATTGGATGCAGGTACTAAAAATAACTTTACTTTGTTATTTACTTTTTGTTTTTCGACTAAATATGAATTTTTAAAAAATAACTCTACATTGTTATATTTATGTATTATAGGTATTTGATGACCCAACAGAATTAACACAAGATGATTTGTATGATTTGCGACTCCGTTGGGTAAAATGTTTCTTTGAGTTACATGAAAATTAAGTTTATCTTGGTGAGTTTTATAGAATTGTCTAAGTTGTGGTTTTTGCACATAATTGTTATTATTGAGTTTTTGCACAATACATGTGGTTTTTGCACATGTATTGAGTTTCTTGATTTTTTTTACTGATGTTAATTGTTATTATTTATTGTCAGACAATGTGATTTTGGTGTTGTCTACCGAAGTTATAACTCATCTACTTGTAGATTTTATATTGGTAATTCAAGTTTGGAAAAAGACTTATAAATAGTTGAATATTTTTGTATATTTTGTGAATAATATGTAATTGTAAGTTTGGAAAAAGACTTATAAATAGTTGAATATTTTTGTATATTTTGTGAAGAATTTGTAATTGTAAGTTTGTTGTGAGTTTGTTTGTTGTGATACAATACAAGTTTGCAATACAATTGTTTAATTTGTAAGTTTGTTGTGAAAAATATGAAAACATCGACCTAGATGTGGTCTATGTGATGTTGGAAAGCTATGAAATCTATATAGCGACATAAATATAGTCTGTGTGATATTGGAAAAATATGAAAAAATGGGTATAAATTATTTTTGTACAGGGAAACATCCAGAAAATAAATAATCTATTCTCAAAAAATTTCATACATTTTACATCGGTAATTACTCCAAACTGATGTAAAATCTTTCAAAAAGGGACTTTTTACATCGGTTATTACTCCCAACCGATGTAAAAAGTTGCGTCACTTTTTTTAAAATAATGATATAATTGTTTCTTACATCATTTTTATATTATAACTGATGTAAAAAATGGACTTTTTACATCGGTTATTACATCCAACCGATGTAAAAAATTGCATCAAGTTTTTTATAATAATGTTATAACTGTTTCTTACATCATTCTTATATTATAACCGATGTAAAAAAGGGACTTTTTACATCGGTTATTACATCCAACCGATGTAAAAAATTGCATCAAGTTTTTTATAATAATGTTATAACTGTTTCTTACATCATTCTTATATTATAACAGATGTAAAAAATGGACTTTTTACATCGGTTATTACATCCAACCGATGTAAAAAATTGGATCAATTTTTTTAAAATAATGTCATAATTGTTTCTTACATCATTCTTATATTATAACCGATGTAAAAAATGGACTTTTTACATCATACCCAGAACCGATGTAAAAAGTACTTGATTTACTATATCGCCTGACTTTACATCGGACCCAGAACCGATGTAAAAAGTCAGTTTCACCCGATGTAAAAAGTCATTTCTGCACTAGTGTCTTCTCGCTACATGTCGAGCAGACAATCAAACTAGCACTCAAAACGCGTTTGTCCCTAATCTCATCCTTTCTCGGAGCAACGACTAGTTAGGGCATAACTGCCCATTTTGACCAGGTCCTGACAGTTACCTATTTTTCACGGAACCTAATATCTAGGCCAAAAAATAGGAACCAATGGCTACGCATCGGGGGAATTATGTAAACCATCACACTTGTGAGGACCAGGTATCCAATATTCATTCATAAAACCCTAATCTCTTTCTTGTATCTCTTTGCACTCTTTCTTACTAGATCGTTGGAGTGCCTTGCAGGTACACCCCCTCCTCTCTATAAATTTCCAGCCAAGCAGACGTCATCAACTCGGTCCACTTTCTGGTTCTGATCAACCGGTAAGATCGGTTATTGATTAAAATATTGAATATTAACGAAAACATGAAGTTATTGATCAAACTATTTAATATTAACGGGAACATGCAGTTACTAATCAAAATATTGAATGTTAACGAAAATATAAAGTTGGTAATCAAAATATTGAATACTAACGGGAATATTAAATTACTGATAAAAATATAAAATATTAACGGGAACATGGAGTTACTGGTAAAAATATTGAATAATAACAGAAACATGACGTTATTGATCAAACTATTGAATATTAACAGAAACATGGAATTACTAATCAAATTATTGAATATTAACGGAAATATAAAGTTATCAATCAAAATATTTAATATTAATATGAACATGAAGTTACTGATCAAAATATTTAATATTAACGAGAATATTTAATTACTGATCAAAATATTGAATATTAACGGGAACATGAAGTTACTGATCAAAATATTGAATAATTGCAAAAAGGTGGATTTACTAATTGAAATATTGAATATTAACAAGAACACGATGTTATTGATCAAACTATTGGATATTAACGGTAATATTAAGTTACTAATCAAAATATTGAATATTAGCGGAAACACAAAGTTATTGATCAAACTATTAAAAATTAACGAAAATATAAAATTACTGATCAAAATATTGAATAATAATAGAACAACTTTATTATTAATTTTAAATAACAATAATTCCAAAATAAAAAATAAAACACACACATATATATATATATATATATATATATATATATATATATATATATATATATATATATATATATATATATATATATATATATATATATATAATATTGAAATAATTATAGATATTAATTTATTATCTCTTTTAAAAAAAATATTTTTTCTAAATTATATTTTAAGAAGAAATATACGTACCGAACTGATTTCCATGCGAACGTATAGATATTTTATTAATATAATAATATGTTTCTCAAAATCCAAGAAAATGCTATTAAATAACAATGTAAATAAACTCAGTTAGGTTTTAGGTAGGGGTGGTTGTATACTTAAAGTAATTAATGACAATATAATATTGATAGTACACACCACACTCTATACACATTATTTATTGATCACAAATGACAAACATATACTAGTAACAAGGAAGAAGAAGAATACATACATAACACCAATATTTCCCCATAACCAAGATACTTGCTCACTTAAATCATATGGCATTCATCTTGACTTTATCAAATGGCTTTGGAAATGCACAACTCCATCACAAATATAAAGTGCAAATAGATTTATCCAAACATGCAGCATGTAGACAAGAAAGAGTGAAGACAAAGACAATTACTTTTACTTGCATCAACTCAGAACAAAAGGCAGAGACATGTTTGCATAGACAGGGCCAAAATGGAAGACCACTACCCCAAGAGATTAAGGTAAGTGTTTTTTCATATTATTATATTATATTAACAGCAAAATCAAATACAAATAATTTTATCATTAAAACCCAAACCACAAACACTCCTAGATATTTGTAGTACAAGTTGGACTAAAATAAAAAACATGAGAGCTTTTGCATAAGATTTTAACGATCTTATAAAGGTGTGAATAATAAAACTTGCATAGTTCAGACACTTTTAGTGACAAAAGTTGTTAGCACCTGAAATAATGCCGTTTTCAACATTTTTTTTTGAGTGGACTAGAATATTTCTAAAACTCTTTTTCAATATATCTTGTTTATAAAAAAAATACCTTTCTCAACAGTACACCAACTCTGGCCAGTTTTGTATCTGCAATTCAAAGGCTGATTCATATAATACTATATTTTAAAATAAATAATTTGGTGAAAATTATATAATTATTTATTTTTTTTAATTCAACGAGTCTGTTTGGTAAGACTATTTTTTTTTTAGTTTTCCAATTTACATTAATGAAAAATCTTTGTTTGATAACTCTATTTTAGTTTTTAATTTTATTTATTTGATTAGTTTTTAGGTTTTTTTTTTAAAAACTATTTGAAGTAGCATTTTAACTTATAATTTTTAACTTGTGATTTTTTCTTTCATTTATATCTTTATTATTTTAACAAAAATATATTATTATTCTTATTAATTAAAATGTTTTTTATATCATTTTATATCTATCAGCTAATGAAAAAATTAATTTACTAACACTCATATTAGTTTATTAGATATCAATCACCAGTTATAAACTATCAGCTATCAATTATCAACTACCAATTATAAACTATTAGCTATCAGTTAGTTTTACTAAATAGAACCAACATCATTTTTTAAGTCGTTTTATGAATATCAACAAACTCTAATTCTTATTGTTATCGTTTGGATTGAAATTTCTATGATGTCTTTTAAACGACATTCATTTTAAAACAGAAAGAAAATTAAACATTCTAACGATCAAAGTTATGTTAAACAAAAAGATTCGGATTTATTTTTTATTTTCATTGTATTGTAAATCAAACATTTACAAAAATATAACCGTTACTTCCAATTTATTTTAATTAAATTTAGAAAAAAGTAATAAATAATAATAAGACATTTTAGAAAAAAAATTATAGACAGTGCATTAGAAAGGTTATTTATAATTGTTGATAAAAAAATTTCCAAAATCATTTATAATTTAAGTGGGAGAGAGTAATAAATAATGATAAAAATATAAAAAATATTAGATTAATATTTTAAAAACAATTATTTAAAAATAAAAAAATAAATAAAAAAACACTTTTGATAAGGGAGAAGAATTGTGTGACTTTAAAATTTGTGATTTTAAATTACTTTAATTACTTTTGATGAAAGAGAAAAGAAAAAAGAAAAAAGAAAAAGAAAAAAAAGAAGGAAAGAAAATAAAAGAGTGATTTTGGCGCCCAAAATCAACTGAATTCCAACCCTATCATAAGATAGGTAGAGAATTTATTAGCAAAAACATATTTTATTGTTATTCTAACTCTGTTTCTGTGCTGCTATCATTAATGATTTCCCTTCTATCTAAACAAATGATGAGTCACGTGATGGCATTCAATTCCCAATATGGTACCCTTTGTTTTTGTTCAAATTCCGTGCGGTTTCTTATCAATGCCATGGACGACCTCTTTATACTAATCACCCACCTTCTCACTATTATTTCTGTTTTTCATTATCAATCGTTTCGACTTTTCACATACTCTTCACGTAATAATTTATAAGTGAAATTGATTTTTTTTAGTATATTTAATCATTAATGTATCTAATTTATATATAAATTAGATATATTAATTATTAAATAAATTGAAAAAGTCAAATTTAGTTATAAATTATAGAATATATTATTAAGAAAATAATGATTGTTGTATGAAAAAATAAGAAATTACGAAGGTTTTTATAAAATTATTGAATAAATATGTAAAAGATAAATTTATAATTTAAAGGAGAGAGAATAATAAATATTTAAAGATATAATAGAAAAAATATTATTAATTATCTATTGGAATTGTAAAACGACTTATATTAATTGTGATATAATTTTTTTTCCAAAACGATTTATAATAAAAAATAGAGAGAATAATTAATTTTTTTAAATTAAATAAAACGTTGTCTTATACTAGTAATATTATAATAGCATAATTAATTTCAAAATTTTTAATTTAATTTAATTTTTTGTTTTTATTTCTTGATTAAAAAAGTTCTGTATTGATCTCTTAATAATTGTTATATAAAAAGGTCCGTTAAATTTTTTTAAAACATTACTACTTTTTTTTAATAAAGATAATATGTATTAAAAAAGATTAATACATAAAAAAGCGGGGGACTAAAGTGAATATCTAGTCAAAAGTATCTAAATCTAAAGAAAGATAATTTTAGCATATTCTTTACATAATCGTTTCTAATACCGATCGATAAAGAATAAAAAAGAGTTAAGGCATTAGTTGTGCGACAAAAGTTAGCAAAAAAATCCGTACAGCTATTGCCTTTCCTGCAAATATGAGAGATAATAAAATCCATGTATAATATAAGTTTGGTACAGTAGTTCCATCTATTTCGAAGTTGCCAAGGGATTAAAGCTTCATTTGCATAACAAAAAGCATTAACCACTTAAGTGGAATCAGATTCAACCCAAAGATTTGACCAACCTCTGACAAAAGCTAATTCAATCCCTCTAAGAACACCACAAAACTCCGCAATGAAGGAATTACTCCAAGGTAAAGGTTCAGCAAAAGCCAAAGAAAATTTCCCAGAGTTACGGCGAAAAATGCCACCACAGTCCGAAGAAGAGGCACCTTTCACAAAAGAACCGTCGACATTGCATTTCATCCAGCCTTGACGAGGCAGGTGCCAAATAATCTCTTTAACTATAGAAGCCTATGACAGATTAATTGGAATAAGGAAGGCTTTGAGCACCTGGAAATCAAACACACTATGTCAGAAGGGAAACTTGGCAGAAGTGCAGGAAAGCTTCACCTAGGCCGCAATAGAGGCACAAACCAAGTGGAAAATTAGGTTCTTTTGATGATAACTGATAGATTTTCTAGCAATCCAAATCGTATTAATCACATAAATGATTGTTGCATTAATCACACACTCCCTGAGGAGAAGATGCTTTCGAAGAAAGAATCTAATAATTAATGACTGTCATAGAAATTTGAAAGTTAAAAAGACCACAAAGCCAATTCCAAATTTTGCAAGCAAAAATACACTAGAAAAACAGGTATTCAGTATCTTCAGCGTAACAGTTGCAAATAAAGCATTTAGAAACAATCATGAAACCTCAAATCTGCAATTATTCATCTGTATGGACTTTGTTATGATGAAGCCTCCACAAAAGTAAAGATTTAGAAGGAGGAATAAATTGGATCTAGATGGAAATAGCCCATGGGAGAGAAGGAGTTGGTTTAGAAATAAAATGATACGCCTCTTTTAAATCCAAAATGGCATTAGTGGAGTGTTTCCAACAAAATAGATCATCCTTCAAATTTTCAACAAAGAAAATATTGTCAAGTCTATCTTCTAAGAAAGGAAAAAAAATCATACCAAGCTAAAGGAACAGTCCAAGAGTGGTTGACGAAAATCTCTGAAAGCCTCATGTCCAAGTTGATGTTGAGGTCTAAAGCAATTTGCACATTTAAGCTCTGAATAAAAAGGGAACCTTTCCACGAATCCTTCCAAAATTTAATATGATTACCACTGCCCAAGGACCAGATAGAGTTATCCATAACAGTAGAGATATGCGGTTTTACATTAAGACAAATATGAGATGAAATATGATGAGAGATATGTCCAAAATATCTCAAAGCCCTACCCCGAAGAATAACGGCCCAATCCTCGGAAGAGTTGATAAACTCCCAACAAAGCTTCAGACTTGTAGCTTCATTTAAACGAAACAAGGTGAGAACATCAAGACCCCTACAAACTCTAGGTTGATAAAGTTTATTCTAAGCAACTGCGATCATCTTACATTTATTAATATTCCCACTCCAAATGAAATTGCGAAACACTCTTTAAATGCTCTTTAGAAGAGATGAATGCCAAGAATAAATACCAATGGTGTGAGTTAACATTGAATTAATAACAGATTGAACTAGCATCTCTCTACGGCAATGGAAAGAGAGAAACCTTTCCAAGCAAAAAACTTCAAGATGATTTTGTCTGCAATAGGCTGCAAATAACTGGCTTTGGTTCTGCCTTTGAAAATAGGCGCCCCGAGATAATCAAAAGGAAGAGATCCTTTGGAGAAACCCGTAAAATCCAACAACTTTTACACTTTAATTCTACTCATACCACCAGCAAAAATAGAAGATTCGGAAGTACTAAAAATCTGCCCTAAAGCCTTAGCATAAGTAGAGAAAAGGGAGAAAAGAGCATAAACATTCTTTTTGGAACCCTTGCAGAAAACAAGAATGTCGTTTGTGAGAGAGTTTGAGACGAAAGACACAAATTCCTGCTGTCAATCATGGGTTTGAGAGCCCCAAAAGACGCCATATTCGAAATTCCTCGACTCAAAACCCCCTCCGCTAAACAAAAAAGCATAGGAGACTGTGAATCCCCTTGACGAACCCCACGAGCATAATTGAAAAAACAATGAAACGAGCTGTTGACAACAACATAGATACGAGCAGAGTTTAGAATAAGTGAAATCCAATTGAGGAATTTAGGAGAAAAACCAAAAGCTTTTAAAACTTTTAACAAAAAATCCAAACTTAGGGTATCAAAAGCCTTTATTACGTAAGCCGGGTCAGCATTATATTAAAAAAATGTTGTTTTTAAATTGGAGATTTTATTTTCGGAGGTTAAAAACCCCACAAAATGTTAATTATGTTTAAAAAGTAACAACTCTTTTACACTGAAACAACATAATATGGATCAATTAAAGCTGATTTCCACACTGAAACAAATAAGAATGGATCAATTAAAGTTTATGATTCAACAAAAAATAACAAATAAAA